GCAGTCTGATTGGCCTCACAGGGTCACGTGACACACACGCCCCCGCTTCCGGGAGGATTGAAATCTCCTAGGACCCCCAGAGAGCCGCAGAGGAGGGGGTTCTCCCCGGAAGGACGAGGGCGGCACGGGAAGAAAGGGAGAAAGGATGGCGAGGACCAACCCCACAGGTACCCCCACGACACTGAGCCTACCACGGGCCAGAGGCTGGTGGAGGGTCAGGATGTGGAAGACGTGGGGGTAACTACAGCCTGCAACTCCTACGGGGCGGGGGCGGGGGGAGATGGAGACGGGGAAACCAGTAGTTGTTACTCGGGCCGGAATGTGGAAGAGTCAGTGTTCCCACGGGGTTCCAAGGGAGCCGGCGAGCAGCCTGTGCTGCCCGCTGGCGTCCAGAACTCAGTCCCTAGGGCCACCCAGGTACTCCCAGTACAGCACAGCGACTTGGGGCCAGATCCCATTTCTGCTCAGGAACATATTTTACCTCTCTGAGCTTGTTTCTTCATCAAACAGAATGGGACAATTATTCCAGTTTAGCTATTAGATTGATTTTGGGAGGCTGAGTACAGAGCTTCACACCCAGGAGGCACTTCTCTACCCCCCTACCCGCATCACCAAGTTTTCTTAGATAAACTGATTAGTTCCAGCTTAGCTTAAAACCAAAAGATGCTCTTTAGAGTTGTTTCATGATCTATCTGGTCTATAGAAGAATACCAGATAATTATCCAAATGCCAAATATTAAATAATTGTACCAAAATTGTCAGCTTGGATACCCCCCACTAACACAGAAGCTCCCTGAAGGCAGGCAAAGCATTATTCATTTCTGCATCTCTTCCTGGTACCCAGCCTAATGGACACTTCTCCCATACCCCCTTCTTATGGAGAGATAATTAGCACACAGCACTATGAAGGTTGAAGGTGTGTAGCATACTGACTTAACTCCCATACGTTGTGATATGATCGCCAAAATAATCTTAGTTTACATGCATCCTCTCTATGGATACAAAAAGAAAGCAAAAAGAAGAAAACTTTTTTTTCTTGTGATGGACAAGAATTCTTAGGCTCTATGCTCTTACCTTTCAGATACACCGTACAGGCAGTGTTGACTATTGTCATCATGCTGTACATTACATCCCTGAAACTTAATTATCTTATCACCAGAAGTTTATACCTTTTGAGCACCTTCAGCCAATCCCCCATCTCCTCCCCTGTCTCTAGTAACCACAAATCTGATCTCTTTTTCTATGAGTTTTGTTTTTTAGATTCTATGTCTAAGTGAGATCATACAGTATTTGTCTTTCTCTGACTTATTTCACTTAGCATCTGTGTTGTCACAGATGGCAGGATTTCCTTCTTTTTATGGCTGAATGATAATCCAGCATGTGCGTGTGTGCACACACGCATGCACCCATGTGTGTATAACATTTTCTTTATCCGTTCATCAGTCGATGGACACTTAGGTCATGTCTTGGTTATTTTAAATAATCCTGCTATGAACGTGGGGCTGCAGATGTGTCTTTGACATAATGTTTTCTTTTATTTTTAAAAAAGATTTTTTTAATTTATTTATTCGTGAGAGACACACAGAGAGACCGAGAGAGGTAGAGAGGCAGAGACATAGGCAGAGAGAAGCAGGCTCCATGCAGGGAGCCTGACATGGGACTCGATCCTGGGTCTCCATTCTTCACACCCTGGGCTGAAGGCGGCGCTAAACCACTGAGCCACCAAGGCTGCCTGACATAGTGTTTTCATTCCTTCTGATATATTCCTGGAAATGGAATTGCTGTCATAGGGCCATTCTATTTGAAAGTTTTAAAAATGTATTATGATTGATTATTATCAAAGTATAGTTGACACACAATGTTATATGAGTTTTAGGTATACAACATAGTGATTTAACAATTCTGTACATTACTCAGCTCACCATGATAGGTGTAGTCACCACTTGTCACCGTGCAACGTTATTACAATATTATTGACTACGTTCCCTGTGCCGTACTTTTCATCTCCATGATTTATTTTATTTTATTCTTTAAGATTTTATTTATTCATTCATGAGAGACACAGTGAGAGAATAGAGACAGACGGAGAAGCAGGCTCCTCGCAGGGAGCCCAATACAGAACTTGATCCTCAAACCCTGGGATCACACCTTGAGCCAAAGGCAGAGGCTCATCTGCTGAGCCACCCAGGTGTCCTGGTTTATTTTATAACTAGAAGTTTGTACCTCTTAAATCCCATTCACCTATTTTACCTGTCCCACCCCCCACCTCCCCTTGGCAACCACCAGCTTGTTTTCTGTATTTAAGAGTCTGGGTTTTTTGGTGTGTTTGTTCATTTGTTTTGTGTTTAGATTTGACCTATGAGTGAAATCATATGGCATTTGTCTTTTTCTGTCTGACTTACTTCACTTTGCATAATATCCTGTAGGTCCATCCATGTTGTCACAAATGGCAAGATTTCATTCTTTTTGATGGCTGAGTAATATTCCAATTTTATATACACCACATCTTCTTTATCCCTTCATCTGTTAATGGATCCTTGGGTGCTTCCATATCTTGGCTATTGTAAGTAATGCAGCAATGAACATAGGGGTGCATGTATCTTTTCAAATTAGTGATTTGTTTTCTTTGGGTAAATGCCCAGGAGTGGAATGACTGGATCCTATGGTGTTCCTCTTTCTCGTACTTGGAGGAGCCCCCATCCTTTTCCCCACAGCGGCTGCATAGGTTACAATCCCCCCTTTTCCACACCCTCACCATCTGCTATCTCTTGTTTTCTCGACGCTGGCTGATCTGACAGGTGTGAGATGATATCTCTTAGTGGTTTTGACTTGCATTTCCCTGATGATGAGTGATGTTGAGCACCTTTTCATGTACGTGTGGACCATGTGTACATCTTTTCTGGAAAAATCTTCTTGAGTCCTTTGCCCATTTTTAAATTAAACTACTTGTTTTTTCATTCTCGAGTTGCATGCATTTTTTTATACATTTTAGATCTTAACCCCTTATCAGATACGATTTGCAAATATTTTTTTCCCATTCTGTAGGTTGTCTTTCCACCTTGTGGTCAATTTCTCTTGCTCAGCAAGAGCTTTTTGCTTTGGTGTAGGCCTGCTTGTTTATTTTGTCCCTTGCGCTCTGGGTATAATATCCCAAAAATCATTGCCAAGGCCCATGTCAGGGAGCTTTTCCGCTATGTTTTCTTCTCGGTTTTTTACAGCTTCTGGCACTACAGTAGTCTTTAGAGAATTTTGACTTCATTTTAGTGGGTGGTGTAAGATAGGGATCTATAATGGAGACTTTTTTTAAAAAGATTTTTATTTATTTATTCATGAGAGACACAGAGAGGCAAAGCCATAGGCAGAGGGAGAAGCATCAGAATCTGATGTAGGATTCAATTCCAGGACCCTGGGATCATGACCTGTGCCAAAGGCAGGCAGATGTTCAATCCCTGAGCCACCCAGGTGCCCCTATAATGGAGACTTTTAGTAAATATATTTTTAAAACACTATCTGAACAGGTAAAGGGCTGAATGAGGCCCTCAAAAGGACACTGAAAACAGCTCTGTTTGCCAAGATGGTCTCCCGGCAGACACCACAGTGGCTTCGGACAGTGGCCAAGGACAAGAGAGAGAGCAAAATGTGTATCTGGTATGGGAGTTGGAAGGCAGGGCATGATGGAGGAGGCAGTGGATGATGGGCCTTGTTCATGAAACATGTCTATTAGCCCACCTACCCTGTGGCACAGAGTTACCTGAGATAGATCAGCAGCAAACATGAAACCCCCCACACTCAGGCAGCTGATATCCAGGGTATAATGTGTGGAGGGCGGCAAGAGCCTCTGGAGAAACCTGGCCTAGGCATCCCCATGGCTGCATCTTCTAGTAATGTGTTTATAATAATAATATTAATTGCAATACCAGCAGCAATTATGTAGAGAACCTATTACTAGATTAGTCAAGACCACTTCAGGGGCGCCTGGGTGGCTCAGTCAGTTAAGCATCTGACTCTTGGTTTAAGCTCAGGTCATGATCCTGCCATCATGGAATTGAGCCCTGCATCGCTCAGTGTGGAGTCTGCTTGAGATTCTCGGTCCCTCCTCCCCTGTTACACCCACCACTCACTTGCTCACGTGCACTCTCTCTCTAAAATGAATGGATAAAATCTTAAAATAAATAAATAAATAAAAAATAAAAAACAGATTGCTTCAGTTTTAAGTAATAGAAACTCAACCCAAACGGGCTTAAACAAATAAAAAGATACTTGGTTTTTGTATTAATTCCTAAAAAATCCCAGCTGTTAACTAGCTTCTGGTATGACTGGATCCAGGAGCTCCAAAGACATCATCAGCATTCTGTGTCTTGCTCCACCTCTTGGCTCTGTGGTCTCCTGACATCATTCTCAAATGGCCAAATAGTAAAAATGACCTCTGATTGCTCCAAGCTAATGATCTCAGCAAAGACAAGCACGCGTTTATTCCAAAAACTTCAGGACACTGTTACAAGGACCACTCCAACTTGGGTCTCATGCCCAGGCCTGAGCCAATATTCAAGGTCAATACTGGGATGCGTGGATTAGCGTGGGTCTGGTGATGGGCATGGGACTGGTGTGGGGGGAAGCCCTATATACTCATAATGGAGGAGGGGGATTTTCTAGAGAGCAGGGCCATACTTGGAAGAGGTGACTTTGTTTTTTTTTTATATATATATATTTTTTATTTATTTTATTTATTTATGATAGGCACACAGTGAGAGAGGGAGAGAGAGGCAGGCTCCATGCACCGGGAGCCCGACGTGGGATTCGATCCCGGGTCTCCAGGATCGCGCCCTGGGCCAAAGGCAGGCGCCAAACCGCTGCGCCACCCAGGGATCCCTGGAAGAGGTGACTTTGAACAGGGAGCATCAACAAAGGCTCCTATACCTATTGCCAGGCACAAAACTAAGTGTCCATTTAGCCTGTCAACAGTCCTATGTGGTAAGACAATTCTTTTCCCCATTTTTCAGATGGGAAAAGTGGCTCAGAAAGGCTGAGTACCTTGCAGCATCACATTACAAGCAGCATGGACTCTTCTCTCCCAGATGGAGGTGAGTGGGGCCTGAAATACAGGGGCGGGTCAGAGAGGATTTGACCGATTAAACATAGTGAATGAGTGGGTGGTGGTTGGATATAAAGGAGAATGAGCTGATGAATTTGGCACTGACCCCATCCCCTACCTATTCCCCACCCCCAGGGCAATGATGCAATGCAGCCTTCTCTTGTTCTGTTCACTGCAACAGTATAGTGCAGACCCAGGAGCCATACTGCTTGTGTTCCCCAGAAAAAGGAGCCTTTGGCTAGGGAATGAATGCTGCTAACATAGAGGTGGAACCACAGGGCAGCGAGGGGGAGGGAGAAGACAGGGAGTGTAGGGAAGAAGGGGAAGCAATGCCAGGTGATGTTTAAGAACACAGTCACTGCTTTACAACAGACCACACATGGGAAATGTGCCTCAAATGGTCCAAACGGGAGGAGAGGGATTGTCCTTCCACCTTGTCTCCTACTGCTCAAAGTTCGCCCCTGAGAACTAATTCCCTCCATGTGTAAGGGTTGTGTTCTCTGGCCCCTTTGGTGGCCACGCCGGAGCCAGACCATTTATGCTGGGATGTAGCCTGGAAAGGGTCAGCCTGTGCAGAGGCGGCAGGTCCAGCTTCAATTGTGGACAGCCACGACAGGGGCAGAGCAGCCAACCAGGGGTATGGCGAACAGGGGAGCAGATAGAAACCGTAGAGGTACACACGATGCATGCGATGCACCCACACTCTGAATATGCTACATCTACATCTCTGTGCCTCAGTTTCCCCTGCAGTAAAATGGGGATGACCATTGCCTTCCCTAGGGTTGTTGAGAGGATTTGAGATAATGCATGTAAAGCAATGAGCAGTGTTTGCACCACCACCACCACGCCCCCGGAAGTGAACTGGACTGGCTGTTCATTGCCTTTGCCAGGAGAACTTGAGGAAAGCTTCACCGAAGGGTGCAGTCCTGGCTAAGCTGTATTAGCCAGGACTCTTTCAGTTGCAGGTGGCTCAAATGAAGGAGAGGAAGGCTTAAGCTTAAAGGCTTAAAGTCCTGGCTTTGGCACAGCTGAACCCAAGGATGATTCTGAGTCTCATGGGATTTGACCCCTGTTGCGTTCACAACATGCACTTGACCTTCAAGGGCTGACCTCAGCAGAGAGAAGACCTGGAGGGAGAGAGATCTGGCTGGAGCACCTGTGAGAGGAGAGGCTGTGCTAAACCAGGGCTTACCAACTTGACATCCTCCGACTCCTGGGATGGGCCCATGGTTTGTTGATTCCAAGCCCGAAAAAAGAAAAAGCAGGTCCCCCATTGGGGCTGGAGTGATTTCAACGCCAAATCTTCATACAAGTTTGCTCAGTGATTATCAGATCAGATAGTTTTGGATGCATCTTTATGTGTTTAGGGAGGTAGAGCCTGGTTTCACGAATACTGTTTAGTAGATATAATCTCCAATGGTTGAATCCACAGGGAAAAACAAATGGCATGAAAAGGTGAAGAACATGACTACAACTCATTCTGACTGTCCCTTCTGGCAATGACATTCTTGAGCACAAGGATTCCATGAGCAACCTCCCCCAAGCAGTCTGAGGTTGTTATTAAGGAACACCCATGCCCCGGTGCTACATAACTGGCCCACTTGTGTTTCTGGTGCAAACGGCAGGGTCCCTCAGCCGTGTGACCTTGGACAAGTCATTTTACCTCTCTGACCATTAGTCTCCTCGACTGTAAAATGAGACTGATGTCTAGGTGCAAAAATGGAAACATATGCCCACACAGACTCATGTTCAAAGCAGCTTTATTTGTAACAGTCACAATCCAGATATAGCCTAAATGACCACCCTCTTATATATGGCTGAGCAAACAGTGGTACATCCATACAGTGGAATGCTTCTCAGTAGTAAGGCATGAACTACTGAGGCACACGGCATGGGTGAATCTCAAAGACATACTGAATAAAGCCAGACACAAAAGAGTATATGCTAAATGATAATACTTATATGAAATTCTAGAAAAGGCAAAATTAACCTCTACAACAAAAGCAGGTCAGTGGTTGTCCTGGAGCTTGAAATGTTCTATATCTCAATGGTGGTAGATAAAACTTGACTTGGGCACTTAAAATGGGTAGATTTTATTGCATGTAAAGTGTAAAGTATACCTCAGAAATGATTTTTTTTTAAATAAGACCAAAGAAAAATATTGCTTTATTAGGACCCTCTCTATGACAGAAACCCAACTCAGGATAATTTTAGCAAAAAAGAAATGCTTTGGCTCATATAATCAGGTGAATCAATGGCTACATTAGCTTCAGGAATGGCTGGATCCAGGGGCTTACTGATGTCTGGATAGGATATTCTCTCCATTTCTGAGCTCTTTCCTTTGTTGGCTTCGACCTCAAGTGGAGAACAGGATGGCCACCAGCAGCTCCATCAACCTGGCAAATTCCATGAAAAACAAATGCCTCTTTCCCTGTAGTTGCTGCAAAACCCCTAAGGGGGAGTCTTCATGTCCATCCTGATCCATGTTTGCCTCTAATGTGAGGGTGGCGGAGAGGTGATCCTCTGAAGGAGAAGAGACGTTATCAGGAGAAAGGGCTGTGGATGCTGGGTAGGGAAAGCTGACAAGTGGCCATCACATTTCTCTACACACCCAGAGGGTGGTATTATCCTCCAACCATCTCTAGAGTGGCCAGGTATTAGGAACACCTAAACTCATTGAAGGCTGAAGTGCGCTTTTTTGTGACGTCACAGGTCTGTCTGTGAGTTAGATACAAAGTCAAAACAGAAAGCGAGCACTAATCTCTTCCCCACCAGCCAAGGCAAACAGAAGGCCCTTCCTGCCTGTGCTAGGCTGTCTGCACCCAAGGAGGCTGGTGGGGGAGGGAGGAGCTCTGCTACAGCTACTCTGGCCCAGGCCCAGAGGGAACGCCTTGGAGCTGGCGTCCGGACTTGCAGGACGAACGTCAAGGAGGGGAAGGAGGCCTCCATGGGCTATGGGTCTCGGCGGGCCCAACCCAAGAGGAATGCAGCATTGGAAGCCAGAGGCACCATCCCTACAGGGTCCCGCCAGGGCAGGAGGGCCAGAAAGGAAGAGGAAGGGAAGGTCATCTTTGTAGAGATAAGGATGGAAGGCACCATCCAACATACTGAGACCCAAACCTCACTTCCTCAGCAGTGCAACTACATTAAGTGAGCATCTTCTCCATGCCAGACACCTCCCAGGATTCTCTGTTGAAATGTCCTCCTCAAAGGGGCACGAAGGGAGCAACGGCTTCGTATTTGTATTCAGAAGCCTTACATTCAGACACATTTCTAAAGGGCACTATTATGCCCATCGGACAAATGAGGCAAGACTCCAAGGTGGGGGGCATTTACTCAAGGCCCCCAGCTACGTGGTTGCCCCTGACCAGACTCCTGGGCAAAGCCCTGTCCCTCCCCACACCCCAACTCCAGAAGCTCAGAGCTCTGGCCTCAGCCTGACTGCTCTAGGCTGTAAGTTGAGCTGAGGTTATTTCTGACCCAGGTAAGCCAAGGCAGCTTAGGGCCACCTCCCAACCCGGTCCCCCAAGGAGCATGGGCAAAGAAAGCCTGAGCTGAGGTCGACTGCCCTGTTTCCCACCAACGTGCTGGCTGAGTCTGCCTGCCCAACCATCCTGTTTTCTGGGAAGCAGGTTAAAAGGATGTCATTGCCAAGAGTGTGCAGTCTGCTGCAAAATAGCTGGTAGGGGGGCAGGGGGAGAGCCAGACTGAGAAAGAGAGAGCCAAGGCCAACAAGGGAAGGCGTGGCCAAGGCTCAGGCCCTCATTGCCCAAGAAAGCCTGTGGGCCTGGCCCAGAGCTGCTGGGCTCTGGGAAAGTAGGGTTCTCAGCTCCTTGCTCCACCCAGCATGTGTGAGGCAGCCTGGCCCTCCAGCTCTGCAGACTGGCCCAGGAACAGCCAACTGCTTCCTGGAGTTCACAATGCTCCCGCCCATGAGATCCCTGCACTGGCAGCCTGCCCAGGTGGCCCTCCGGCCAGGCTCCTGGACATTAGCTCCATAGGAAAGAGGGAGGGGGAGGGACAGCTTTCTGGAGACCTAGGCACCTCCAGCAGGGGTCCCGACCCCTAGGGCTGCCAGCCCAGAGCAGGGCCCAGATGAGCAAGCCCCACGCGGGCCGTGCTCCTTCCTAGACACCTCTGTGCAGGCAGGGAACAGGGAATCAGGAGCCTCTGCCAGCCACAGCTGCGTTACCTAGGCCACGCCTCTGGTGTGTTCTGAAAATGGGGTTAAATCTTGCCCGGCCCAGAACTGGGATCCTGGGCCACATGGCAGGCTGAATGGGGGTAGCTGTGGATGCAGGCTGGCCAGGTGCGCAGTCACATCAGAAAGACCCAGGGGTGGGAACCCAGCCTCCCTGTGGTGCAGATACCTCCTCCATGAGACAGCAGCACCCACCCACGCACCTCCGGATACTGGCTGACCAAATGCTTAAGTATTAGTAAGCATCAGGATATGCTTGTTAGAACCGAATGCTAATTATAAGTAATTATTACTGAAAGCCCTGGCCCTGGGAGTCAGCCCCAGCTCTGCCCATCCTAGCTGTGTCTTCTGTTTTATTTTACTTTTTAAATTTTTATTTATTTATGATAGGCACACAGTGAGAGAGAGAGAGAGGCAGAGACATAGGCAGAGGGAGAAGCAGGCTCCATGCACCGGGAGCCCGACGTGGGATTCGATCCCGGGTCTCCAGGATCGTGCCCTGGGCCAAAGGCAGGCGCTAAACCGCTGCGCCACCCAGGGATCCCTAGCTGTGTCTTCTGGTGGGTATCCAGACCACTCATGCCTCAGCCCATCCTGTAAAATGAGGATCAAAAGATGACTCTGAGCAGCAGGGAAAAGCATCGGACGTAAAATTCTGCCAGCTGCAGATGGTCACATCTTCTCGACTGGGCTCTGAAGGCAGAGCCTCAACAATCTCTTCAGCTCTAACTTGTGGCCACAGAGCCGGAGTAGTTCTCCAGCTGCTTAATAGGAGCACCTGAGGAGCAGAAGACAAAGATTCCCATCCCTGGGTGCCCTCCTCTACCCCCATTCCTGGCAGCCCAAATCCAACTGGCCTTCCTGGCTGGGGAGGAGGAACAGGGGCTGACATGGGTAGAAGGCTTCCCAGAATCTTAGTGCAGCCGGAGTCCAGAGGCAGTGTAGCAGCCCACGTGGAAATCAATCAGGACAAAGCCTACAGGTTTAGCCTCCCCAACTTCATCAATCTCCGTGGAGAAGAGCGACCTAGTGTGGCTCCAGTACCCACCACTGAGAGCTCTGAGGTTCCTGGCTGCAGGCGAGCTTCGGCTCATCCCACTTGGCAAAAAGAAAAGAGAGACTCTGGCTCCCAAGGGCACAGGGCCATTGCTCAAATGGGTTATAAGCCTCACGCCTTTTAAAAGCCCTAGTCCTGCTAACTGGGTGGGGTGTGTATGCACATAGGGGAAAAATGCTGGAAGGATCTATTTCATTAGCAGACATTATCTCTAGGCACGGCATTTTTATAAGCCTTTTCCTCCTCCTGAATTTTGAAATGCTCTACAATGGAAGGCGGTTCTTCTACAGTTGGGGGAAACAGTACTCAGCTTTATTTTTCATGTATTACTTTTTTCAACAAATTGATGAGGTTTTTTTGTTTTTTGCAAGTGTTTATAAAGAATGAGGAACAAATTCAGGAATAAGGAGGTTTGGGAGGGATGGCAGGGCAGGGCAAAGGGGCCTTAGGGAGAGATAGCTGATTTAAAGTTAGCAAACGCTTAGCTATGAGGAATGACAAAGCACCCCATGCTTATTGTAGGTGGTGAGAATCTCACTTAATGAAAACCCCATCCACCTCTTCCCAAGAAGGGATAAACATCACTCCACACCCCACCCCACCCCTAACCTCCTGTTAACCTTTACCTTGATGCTGTCCTTTCTCCTGGGTGGAAGAATGCTGAGGCTCCTGAGCAAACCCAGCCCTTTAAAAACTGTCTCTGGGAGAGCTGGTGTGGAGGCCCAGCTGGGATGACCAGAGCCTAAGGAGCAAGAGGCCAGGCTGGCCAGAAGGATGATCACACGGTCAGGGTCCTGCAGACAGCCATCTTCTCCAGTGACCAGAGTTGCAAGTCTGCGCCTGGAAACCTAAGAAATAGCTGGAGGATTAATTTCCCTTGCTGACCTGTGATGTCGATGAGCCCTGGGATGGAGCACAGCAGCAGGCACAGTCCTGCTTGCTGCTTGATCACCTTCCTGTCTATCCACGCATGGGCAAGCCACCTGCTCAGCCTCAGCTAGAGGGGAAGGACTGTTGCTTTGGGACCTGGGAACATTCTTATGAACTGGCTTTCCTGGGTTGAGAGGGATGTGTCACAAATTGGTATTTCCTCTTGATAGTCCCCCAGCAAGTAACCCTAAATCCACTCAAGGCTCAGCCAAAATGTCTGGGGTGGGCTGGAAGAGGTGGGGATGGGGGTGCCTACTGAGAAGGGAGGAGCCCCGGGAGGTGAAAGCAGGATAGAGTGTTCTCTATCCCAGCTGAGAAAAAGCAAGCTCCAAGGGTACAGCAGGGATTGGCGGGGAGAAGCCCTTGAATCCACCAGGAGCATGTTTTCAAAATGGCCAGGTCACTGGCTCTCAGGGATTGGGCTGGGCTCCCTGTTTTAAAATGCAGTACAGTTTCCTGCCCGGGTGCCTTCACCCCTCCTGCCCCTAAACAGTTCCAACTTCTCAGGAGCAGTGGACATCTTCGCCAGCCCAACACCACTGCTCTTGACATAACCAGCCCCAAGGGCACCCATCCTGGGGCCCTGCCCATGCAGCCGGCCTCCTGCAAACCTTCACCACACACAAACTGAGGAGGCCCTGTGTTCTCCTGAGTTCCAATCTGCGCAGGACTGTCTCAATGCTCAGCCCTCCCTAACCCTCCTCCAAAGAAAAAAAAGAAAAAAATTGTAAACATATATGCAAATCAATGCATTGGCCCAACAGAATTGTTTTAATAATTCACTCTCGTTTCAAGAGGATGGGGGAGGACATCCCAACGTGACCCCAGGAAGCACTTCCTGTTCCAGGGTGGCCAGGTAGGCAAGGGGTGGGTTGGCAGCTGCTGCCCGATGCACACTGCAAGAACAATAAGGATTTTTAGGGGCATTATGACTGAGTCAGAAAACACAGCTGCCCCTGAAAGTCCCTCATTTTTCTTGCTGTCCTTGAACACTCTCCAGGTAAGTAAGCAGTCAACCAGCTGGCCCAGGGGGGCTGAGGTGGAGACGGCAAACCCTCACCCGACGCCGACCCACCACCCTACAGCCAGAGAGCTCTGTGGTGGGTAGGGGGGCTGCCGAGTCTCCACCGTGGCACAATTCTTGCCAATGTTTGGCCTGGCAGGTGGCCAGCCTCACTGCCCCCCACAGCACACCCAGGAATGACCAGCCTTTGCTCCACCCAGAGCCAGTTTTCTAAATGCCGTGCTTTCTGCCCACAACAAGCCATGGACTGGAATGTAAAGGAATCCCAAGTGGACGAGAACAGTCCCAAGAACTAGGGAATGCAGTTAAGACCCTCGAGAAGAGTCATCTGGCCCTTGTGTTCACCTGTGGGGTGTAGAGCCATCTTGTAGAGACTGAGCGCCTGACAAGCCAAGTGAAGTCACAGGCCTAATGTGGCATAGGAATGCAAGAGTCAGCCCCAGACTTCCTCAGAGGTCAAGCTGGGTGAGGGTAGAGAGGAGAATATGGGGTGGGGGGTGGTCATAGCTGCTCGACTCCTAAAGCCCAAGAGAAGAACTACTGAAAGACCTAAGACTCTAGTAAGAGTCAGGGGGGTGGGGGGTGGGGGCTGAGCTCTGGTTCCCATGGCTTTGCTTTACCCTGTCTCTAAAACGGGTCCAGTTGGAACTAAGCGCCCACCATCTCTTCCCTTTTAGAGGACTTAAGAGAATTTCAGCTCTGTCGTAGGAACCAAAGGCTTAGCTCTTGAAAAGCCAACAGTCACTTGTAGGAGGCAAGAGGGTGCAACATGCAAGAAACAGCACACTGTCCAGCCTTCCCCAGGCTCTAACACATCCTGCCCACTTCATCAGAGGTGGGCTCTGGAAGAGGCAAGAGCATTAGGCTGGCCTGAATAGGAACGCAGGTCCCCGACCACTACAAAAATAGCCTATAGGGGATCCCTGGGTGGCTCAGCAGTTTGGCACCTGCTTTTGGCCCAGGGCGCGATCCTGGAGTCCCGGGATCGAGTCCCACGTCGGGCTCCCTGCATGGAGCCTGCTTCTTCCTCTTGTGTCTCTGCCTCTCTCTCTCTCTCTCTCTCTATGTCTAGCATAAGTAAATAAATAACTATTTTAAAAAAATAGCCTATAATGGGCAAAGACAGCTAGTATGTCTCGGGTGGCCTTCAGGTTCGAAACAACCAGCTGACAGGCTCTGCTGGGAGGCATAGGTGGGAAGAAACTAGGAATGGGGTGAGAGAATAGTCAGAAACTGACCAAGAAGAAAGGGAAGAGGATGGTGATCGATTTCTTTACTTATAGGAGGATGAAAGGGGCTTCCAGAACCAGAGCCTGGTTTACGGGCCTTCTTTCTGGGGTGATCCCTTCTACAGCCCAATCTGAGCAGGCCTCCAGGGCAGCAAAGCCTCCCCTCTATAGGCCCTGGGCTTTTGACTCCTCTGAAGCTCATGGTGCAGAATGCCACCCATTAGTGGATCACTTGTGCCCTGATGCCAGGCCATTCCACCCAGGCCCCCAGGCCCAGGACCTGCCCAACTGGCCACTGGGAACATGCCCCACCCACCCTGACACCCCACCTACCTTGACACCGCACTACCCCTTGGGGACCCGTCACCAGTCATGCTATGTGTGTACCACCTGTAGCCTCTCAGAACACGGGCGGCCCTGCTGCGGTGAAAGCACAGCCCACAGAAGACAGACCTGGTGCCATTCTTTATTTACTTGCTGTGTGACCGTGTATAAGTCACCTCACTTCTCTGTGCCTTGGCTTTCACATTTGTAACTAGGAATAAATAAGAAGCCTACTTTGCAGGGCTGTGGGAGGATTGAAGGGAAATAAATATACCAAGCACTTAGCAGGTTCCTGACAAAAGTGTATCACCCTCTCCAAGTGGTTTCCCCTTCCCCCTTGGACCCCAAGGGTGGGGGCTAGGCCAGGACCCCCTGGGAGTTGCCAAAGACTCACATCACGGAGAATTCTTCCCCTCTTGGAAGAGCAACTGGGACAAGGTTCTGGGCACAGGCCTTGCTGCTCCCCGAGCACTACGGTAGCACCTTCACCCCACAGCACAGGACCTTCCTTGTCCAGACTGAGAGGAAGTATGCCCAGAAACCTAGCAGCCTGGCTACCGCCTTACCCTTGCCCAACTGTGTTATGACAACTGTCCTCTTGCCCACAGCCTTCTACCCTAACCAATATCATGGCCATACACTCCTCCGGCAAAACCCAAGCTGTCCCCTACACACCAGGACCAAAGCCATCTGAACTAAACAACACGATCGTGCTTCGCCTGCTCAGAAGCCCCAGCCCTCAGTTTGCACAACTTCCATGTGAACTGGTCCTGCCACCTGGGGTGCACTGGCTCCTGTACAGCAGGCAGAATGAGAGGATGAGACCCAGCTCACGGCTTCACGGCCACAGGGCCTTCTGTGGGCTATTCAACCCCTCTGGACTTTGGTCCACTCCTCTGCAAGATCAGGGTAACTACCTGTTTCGGGGGCTGTTGGGAGGATTTAAGTTCATTCGCATCGAAGGCTTAGAACTCTGCCTGGCACAAAGCATTCTATCAGGGTGAGCGATCATGACTGGCACCCTCTGCTGTGTTCTTCTGGACTCAGCTTCCCTCTTCTGGGTAACCTTTCCTGACCCTGGCCCCTTCTTTCTCCCTGCTCCCCCTGACCCCATGCTTGCGAAGCTGCTTTACCTACTGGCCTCCCAGCTGCCCAGTCCTCAAACGACATACATCCCAATCACACACACTTATTAGCAATGCTGGCTCCAGGGCCCCAGTGTGCATTGCAAACAGGCTCCCTGTGTGATTCTTGGGGACACCCTCAGCTTCCAGCTTCAGAAGCACCGCTCTAAGCCATCTACTCACCTTAGGACAATGTCCCATGACCCAGATATTCAATAATGAGGTGAGGTCGGGTAGGAGTGGGACGCTGCCCAAGGAGTGGCCAGAGGATGACCCCCTGCCGTGCTAGGCATGTGACAGTGACTGACTTGGGCATGGCTGACAGCAGACTCCCCCCCCCCCCCCCCCACAAATGCAGGTCCCCTGGCCTTTCCTGAGCCTGGCCAGTGCTGATCACATGTTGATGACTGAGGGCCTGTCCCCGCTGCTGGGGGGGGGGGGGCGGGGGCGGGTAATGTGTGTGAAAAGCCATCAAGGCTTCCAGAGGAGCTGCAGAGTAAGGAGGCTCCACTCTGAATTTGGAGTCCCTAAAATAGCCAGCAACCCACAAAACCATGGTGGAAGGAAAAAAAAAAAGCCAACCAGAGTTATCAGCCCTTGTTTGGAATTTGCTTTAGAAAAAGAAAAGTATGTGCCAGTCCCACCCGGACTAGGGAAGGAAGTGGTTGGGCAGTGGGCAACAGTCCCAAAATGTCTTGGGGGAACCCGTCCTCCAGAGAAGCTCCTGGGCAGACAGGGATGCTGGGGCCTGCAGCAGGGGCTGGCTGACATGGTCTGGCCCTGGGGCCTGCAGAGGCCCAGCATGCTTTGAGTCAGGGGCCAAACTCCCCTAGCAAAGGGAGCTGAGTTAGGCCAGCTGGAGGGATGCTGGTGCTCCAACCCAGGGGAGAGGGCTCTACAGGCCCTTCCCCTGGCACCTACCTAGTCAGCCCCAGGACAGCTGGGCTGGAGTCTCTGCTGCCCCAGAAAGCCTTCCTGAACTCGCTGGCCCAATCCACCCATGCTGGCTGTTCACAGGCTGGGATGAACAAAGCCAGGAGACCTGAAACTTCTCTATTAGAGTCCCCAGGTTTACAATAACCAATCTCTCTCAGCCGGAAATTCTTTTGCTAAGAACATCTCAGCTCCTAAATGCTTGCACTCCCCCCCTTCGGCTCCCCCCCCCACACACACACACCCCACAAACTCTCCAGCCCTGCCTGGCCTGATGCCGACTGGCCAACATGCCTTGGGGTTGGCACAGCCCCCCAAAAAGAACTCATCAGTGAGTAGAGGTCCAAGTGCCCCTGGGCAAATTTGGCTCAGAGCCTGAATGCATCTGTCTGTACAAATACCCACTCCTGCTAATGAGGCTGGTCCAAGGAGGCAGCACACTCCTTTCGTCCACAGCTGGAGCCAGGAGTGGGTTCCACCACCAAAGCCACACCTTTGGTCTCTTTAAGGGAGACTCCACAGGAGAGGGAAACAAGACAAGCAGAGAAGGCCCGCAGACAGCTCAGCCAACAGTATGGGAAAGAAGAGTCTATGGGAAAGAAGAGTTTAAAGATGCATTGAGAGATGCCTGGGTGGCTCAGTTGAGTGTCTGCCTTGGGTTCAGGGCGTGATCCCGGGGTCCTGGGCTCGAGTTCTGCATCAGGCTCCCCGAGAGTAGCCTGCCTCTCTCTGTGTCTCATAAATAAATAAAATCTTAAAAAAAAAAGATGCTTTGATCCTTCTCACAGGAGTTGGCAGACTGAAGGCCCGTGAGCCAAACCCACACCACCTCTTGTTTTTATATATAAAGTTTTATTACAACACAGGTGGACTCTTTCATGTAGTATCTATGACTGCTTGCACACCAAAAGAGAAGAGTTCCAATAGAGAGAAACCGTATTTGGCCTAGAAAAAACTTCACCCACGCCTGCTTCTGAGCAGTGTTCACTCAGTACCTAGTGTGCTCCAGACACAGAACACAACAGTGAGCAAAATCTCTGAGCCTTTATGGGACTTAAGGCCTGATGAGGGAAGAGCTCCGAGGACTGTGAGGCCTGCTCCTTGGGCATCTGGCCCACCTGTCGGTTGGCCCCTGGCTCAGCCCACAGGCTCCTTCTGGGCCCCCAGCCTGGGGCACAGAGCTGCCATCTCTCACCTGGAACCCTCAGACCATATGTATTTCAGAACTGTTGAGGGTTTAAAAAGGTAAAGGTGCACATACCACATATTTTGCAACACTCCTGCAGGGCAGCACCCCTAATTAAACACATTCACATCTCTGCAATGAAACCCACGAATGTTCACACCCCCTAAGAGAAATACATATTCTAATGGTCTCAAGTCAGTTTTGGGGCAGGTTTTCCCATGAAATCCTTTATAACAACAAACTTCTGGTTTTCAGGTAAGGACCGTGAGCCTGCACCAATTAAGAGCTAAAAAGTACAAATGGATAAAGATGTGGTCTATAAATACAATGGAATAGGGGATCCCTGGGTGGCTCCACGGTTTGGCGCCTGCCTTTGGCCCAGGGCATGATCCTGGAGTCCTGGGATCGAGTCCTGTGTCAGGCTCCCGGCATGGAGCCTGCTTCTCCCTCCTCCTGTGTCTCTGCCTCTCTCTCTCTCTCTCTCATAAATAAATAAATAAATCTTTAAAAAATAAATACAATGGAATATTACTCAGCCGTTAGAAATGACGAATACCCACCATTTGCTTCGATGTAGATGGAACTGGAGGGTATTATGCTGAGTGAAGTGAGTCAATCAGAGAAGGACAATCATATGGTTTCACTCATACAGAGAATATAAAAAATAGTGAAAGGGATTATAGGGGTTAAGGAGAGAAAATAAGTGGGAAAAATCAGAAAGGGTGACAAAACATGAGAGACTCCTAACTCTGGGAAACGAACAAGGGGTAGTAGAAGGGGAGGTGGACGGAGGGTTGGGGTGACTGGGTGACGAGCAGTGAGTGGGGCACTTGACGGGATGATCACTGGGTGTTATACTATATGTTGGCAAATCGAACTCCAATAGAAATATATACGACAACAAAAAAAAAGTACAAAAGCTGGATCCCAGCTTCATTCCCTGGTCTTGGCTGTAGGTCCCCACCCCTGCAGACTCTCCCCGTGGCCACCAGGCACAAAGCAAGTACACATGAGGCATGCCCAAAAGATGAACTGAATGAACTATCACCAGGACTTTTTTCCTCAAAGAACAGCCACTGACATTACTGCTGATAAATGTAAAAAAAGCAGCATTTAAAACCTGCCTTCATCGACCTGCTCCACTGTCAGGAGCAAAGAGAAGCAGACATGATGAATAATTTTTTCAACTCCATTTACTTGAGCTAAGGAAGATGAACCTTTTGTCTGGACACTGTTGCTGCCTGGTGGGCAGGCACAGGAGGTGTTTTACTGGGAGCAGGTGAGGGGATGGTAACCAGAACTGAAAACACATGATTTTTTTTCCCCTTTGTGTAATTGCTCTGAACCTCCCTGTGGCCAAAGTTCCATTTGGAAGTCTACAATAATTCATCTCATCACACATTCCTAACAGCTAATTAGAAAAATGTACTAATTGGGTAATCTGGTTTCAGATGTTCTAATTATATTCCTTTGGAGAAGAAAAAAGCAAAAAAAAAAAAAAAAAAAAAACAAAAAACCAAAAAACCCACTACATATTATTTTTATGTACATATAATTTAATAGCATTTCTTCCAAAGAGTGTAAAACATCCAGAAAGTTTAAATTATAAGTTTAAAAAACCAAAAACCTCAAGCCTTATGACAGTCATCCTGAAAGAATATTTTTAATACCCATTATCTATAAACTGTGGAATCATCTATAAAATGCAGTGCTTCTGCAGTAAAGGGTGACAACTTAAAAAAATTTCAGCAATACCTCCCATCAGCTGTCCTGAAAGTAAGTGGCTTTCTCCCCTCCCACCCCTCTTTGATGCAACAGGGTTTCAGCATTCTGAAATGTCATACCCTCTGTTTCTTAATAGAGCACTCCTACAAATGACTCCCAGAAATTTCCTCATCGCCTGAGATTTCTAAACCCCAAATTGGGAAAGAGGTTCTGGTCTCCACAGATGAGCTCTGCCTAACCCGGCTCTGGGCAGATTTTTAGGAGGGATTTTACTCCAGAATTGGGAAACACGTAGATTCCGACAAAACGCCTGGGGTAAGAAGGTGAGAGGGGATGTTCGCTGGCTGCGAAGGGGCCTGCACGCCAGAGCGCCGGCCTGGGGCAGGGCATCCCTCCCAGAGCCGACCTCCTGGAGGGCGGGGCCAGCGGCCGTGGGCGGGGCCAGGCAGACCCTCCCAACCAACCAAAGCTGCCCGCGACCTCCAGGACTATATTTAGTCAGGGCTGACTGCCCTCCACGGGGCGGGGCGGCCCAGCCCAGCGCGGCCACCTGCGAGCCCCGGCGCCTGCGGCCCTGCCACCGCGGTGCCGACGTGCTGGGACACCACGACTCCTGGTGGAGAGGGCACAGGCATCCTCTCTGGCATTTCCTCCAGCCCTGGCGGGGCACACGTGCTGCCCATCTGACAAATCCAGTCTGCCCGTCTGCCGGACCAGGAGGGACCACGCTGGGCACGCATGGCCCGGCCACAGGCCCACAGGCCGGGCTGCGGAGAGCACCAGGGGCCCGCAGTGACACCGGCCCTGACACGGGCCACTCCAGTTAGTTTCACTTTCTGGTTTTCATCCTGGGCCAACTCTCACCCTGATGCAAGAAAATCGCCTTTGAATGCCAAGAGAGAAAAATCCTCAAAAATGTTCCTTGTCATTTGCTTTTTTTCTGAGGACACGGTTTTCCTCTGAAGACCGGGTAACAGGCTTTGGTGAAAACCCCAACTGCGTAACTTCAGTCCCCCGGGCTGTTCAACTCTAATATGATTACACATCTAAATGCAATAAACGGGGCAAAGTGGTATTATTTTTCTGGGAAAAACCAACATCATAAAAGGGTCTTTATTGAATCAAGGGCCCCAGAACTGTTCTCTTGCTTAATTATGGCTCCCCAGTGAATGAGGCCCGGTTTCCAGGCAGGAGTCCTCACAACTCCCCAGCCCAAAGGGCAATGGAATATTTGTCGCGACTTGTCTAATTACAACAAAATCCACCAAAAGGACGAAAGGGAGGATGCCAAGTAGGTTGGCAGCAGCCCCATCCCCCCACTCGGGAGCTGGAAAGAGGGGGAGCTGGTTCTTCAGACTACTTCTATTTTAAGGAGCAGCCCCCCTGCTCCACCGCCACCCCTCACATTCAAGTCAAGGTCCTGGACCCTGCGCCCCTTCCCACTGTCAGTGCTTAAGTGGTTTTCCAGCACCTAGCACTGCCCCT